GTTTGGTTGCCAGTCCTGGCTCCGTTCCTGGTTCCTTTCCTGGTGCCAGTTCTGTTCCTGGTTCTGTTCCCAGTTCTGGTTCTATTCCTGGTTCCGTTCCCAGTCCCGGTGCTGGTTTGGTTCCCAGTCCTGGTTCTATTCCTGGTTCCGTTCCCAGTCCTGGTTCCATTCCTGGTTCCATTCCCAGTCCCATTCCTGGTGCTGATTCCATTCCTAGTCCCAGTGTTGGTTCGGGTCCCAGTCCTGGTTCCATTCTCAGTCCCATTTCTGGTGCTGGTTCAGTTCCCAGTCCCATTCCCGGTGCTGGTTCGGTTCCCAGTCCTGGTTCCATTCCCAGTCCCGTTCCTGGTGCTGGTTCGGTTCCCAGTCCCATTTCTGGTGCTGGTTCAGTTCCCAGTCCCGGTGCTGGTTTGGTTCTCAGTCCTGGTTCCATTCCCAGTCCCATTCCCGGTGCTGGTTCGGTTCCCAGTCCTGGTTCCATTCCCAGTCCCATTCCCGGTGCTGGTTCGGTTCCCAGTCCCATTCCCGGTGCTGGTTCGGTTCCCAGTCCTGGTTCCATTCCCAGTTCCATTCCCGGTGCTGGTTCGGTTCCCAGTCCTGGTTCCATTCCCAGTCCCGTTCCCAGTGCTGGTTCCATTCCCAGTCCCGTTCCTGGTGCTGGTTCGGTTCCCAGTCCATTTCCAGTCCCATTGCTGGTTCCGTTCCTGTTGCCGGTTCCGTTCCCGGTGTCTCGGATCCCGCTGGGAATCTCACATGCACATCACCTGCGGCCTGGAACGAGGCCAGGACAGGGAGGGTCACCTGCCTCACCTGCGGCCACGCCCCCAGCCCCACCCACCTGTCCTGCCTCACCTGTGGCCACGCCCCCCACCCCACCCACCTGTCCTCCTGCCTCACCTGCGGCCCCGCACTGCCCCGCCCACCCACCTGTCCTCCTCGATGGCGCCGCCCTCGCCCTCGGGGTCGCCGCTGTCGCCCTTCTCGGCGTCGCCCTCGCCCAGGTCCATGTCCAGCTCGTTCCCGGTGTCCGGGCGGGTGTAGGCGTAGCCACTGCGGGGATGGCCACAATTCCAGGGAATCCCCTCGGGAACACCTCCCCACCCTGGAATTCCAGGGAATCCCCTTGGGAACACCTCCCCACCCTGGAATTCCAGGGAATCCCCTTGGGAACATCTCCCCCCCACCCTGGAATTCCAATGAATCCCCTCGGGAACATCCCTCCCCCCCCTGGAATTCCAGGGAATCCCCCACTTGGGAATGGACCCTGGAATTCCAGGAATCCCCTCAGGAACATCCCCCCCCACCTTGAAATTCCAGGGAATCCCCCCCTTGGAAATGACCCCTGGAATCTCCTGGGGAATGCCCCAGAATTCCAGGAACGCTCTGGGGAAGAGCCCGGAATCCCCTGGGAAACACCCCCCAGAATTCCGGGAACGCCCTGGGGAAGAGCCCAGAATCTCCTGGGGAACACCCCCCAGAATTCCAGGAACGCTCTGGGGAAGAGCCCGGAATCCCCTGGGAAACACCCCCCAGAATTCCAGGAACGCCCTGGGGAAGAGCCCGGAATCCCCTGGGAAACACCCCCCAG